ACTTCTTCTTCCAGGAATCCTGAGCTTGTAATTTTGCATCCGAGGTATTCGAATGACATTATCTGATCAATAATTTTGTTTTTATTACCAATTTGCACCGTAGAGGCTCCTTTTGTAATGGTCTTCAAGTGCATTTGGTCTTATTGTGGAAATTTGCATGTTAAGTTTTTCTGCCTGTCTGTTAAAAGCTTGTAGCATTCTTTGGAGGTCGTCCTCTGACTCTGCAATAAGTACTGCGTCATCGGCATAGCATATGTTTACTTTACGCATTCCCATTCGATATCCTAATCCAGTATTCTTGACCGTTTTTATTACTTGATCCATGACTGTGTTGAATAACAGAGGGCTGAGGCTGTCGCCTTGGCGAATACCAGTTGTAGTTCGAAGATGCTGCGTTAAGGTAAAATTTGTTCTTATTTGGGTTGTTGTGTTTGTGTTTAAGTCCTTGATAAGTTCTGTGAGTTTTTTCGAGACATTACTGCATTCCAAGATGGTGATGATGTCTTTTAGTTGGACTCTATCAAAGGCCTTTGTTAAATCTATAAAACATAGATAGGCTGGAGAGTTATATTCTAAAGATTTTTCAACTAGTTGCCTGAGTATGAATAGTGCATCGGTAGTTGATCGGTTTCTTCGGAATCCTTGTAGTTCCTCGCTTATTGGCACTATTGAGGAGATTTGGTCCGCAATGATCTTAGTCAGAAGTTTTAGCGAGGTGCTCAGTAATGTTATTCCTCTATAGTTTGCTGGGTCTGTTTTATCTCCCTTTTTAAAAATAGGTATTGTTATACTTTGTTTCCATTCTGCTGGTATTTTCTTATGTTGTAATATAATGTTAAACAGTTTTGTGTATTCCTCTATGATAGCCGTGCCTGCGTTTTTTATTAGCTCGTTTGGTATTTTATCTTGATTAGGAGATTTTCTATTTTTAAGTTTCCTTATTGCCTCTTCTACTTGCTTGTAAGTGATTTGCGTATGATCTTCTGTATTATCTCTTTGGCTTGTCTCTTGTGCTTCCATTGGTTCATCTGTTTCTGCGTTTAAGTCTCTGAAATATTTTTCCCACGTATCTTCTGCAATTGTTCTTAGTTGTATTGTTTCATTTGTTTCTCGTTTCAAACCCCTTAACATCTTCCAAATACGTTTTTGTGCTCCATACATATCCGCCTCCATTTCGCTACTAAATCGCTGCCAATATTCTTCTTTAATTTCTCGTACTCTATTATTAGTCCTGTTCCTTATATCGGTATAGATATTTCGGTTCTCCGGTGTTGGAGATTTCTTGTATTGTAAGTATTTTTCCTTCTTTTCCCTTGTAATGTTCTTGACTTTTAATGTAAACCAAGGTTTAATGTTCGGTCTTCTATTGTGTGATACAGTACGTGTTCCTAAAGCTTCTTTAGCACCTTTGCAGATGTTTTCTTTCAGTTTGTTCCAAGCTGTGTTAGGAGTATCAAACTGTGCTATGGGGTTAAGAGTGACATGTGTTTGGCATCTGTTTGAATAAAGTTGTTTAGTGTTTTCGTGGTTGAGGGATTCTATATTGAATTTTTCAGTTTTTATCGATGGTCTTTTTTTGGATAGCGGCGCACCTATTCGTATCTATCTGTGTATCATATGTCACAAAATTATGACAAAACTTAAAGCACATTATTTAAATACAACAACATAAAAATATTTAAGTAGATTTGTCAAAGAATTATGTTTTTACATTTAATACTCTCCCAAGTGGAATTAAATTTTTCCGAATATCGAACAAAACAAAGCTTTGTTAAAGAAGAAATTCTCGAGATATCTACAAAGTTACTTTAAGACGGAATTATGTAAATTCCTCAACTTTAATACTTTGTATAAGTAACTTTGCGAATGTTTTAGTATTTAAAGTCTAATTTTATTTATAAACAACTTTAATAAAGATTTGGGGTTTCCTTATTTATTTGAAACTTGCGTTGTTAAAATTGTCTAAATTATATACATAATTTAAAAATAAAATTGATTCAAAGATTATATTATATATAAATAAATAAAATTACAGCTAATAAAATAGAGTTAAAATTAAATTTCTCATGTATTTGATAAAAAAAATCTGCTTTATCCAATTATGATACTCTAATTAAAAAAAGGCAAATTTTCCAACGCTGTATTTTAGTGAAAGCAAGTGTTCCAAACCCGTTTTTCTCAAGTGCGAACACTTGAGCGTGTAATCTGACACGTTGCAGGATGTTGGAAATGTCCGGATTTAATGGAGATTGCTCAAACAAGTTCGAAAAGCGTCGCTAAGCCCCTTTTAACTATGTGTAGAGTACTACGTGCTTTTAGACAATTTTAAGGTAAAAATTTGTATAAAAATCCATTTACAATTAGAAAAAAATCGATTGTATGTAATCTATACTAATATACAGGGTTGTTCACCACATACGACACGGAGTATTGTAGCTAAACGATGAGATTTTTACAAATTGTAAGTTTGGGGTTCGTTGAAGGACTATTAGAGCTACAATTTAAAAATATTTTTTACAAGATACAGAGTGTCCCAAATAAATAAAAAATATCAAAGTTGTATTTTTTTAAATGGAACACCCTCTATATTATTACATTTTTAGTTTCTACGATTAAAATAAAGGTAAATTTGATTAAGGTTTATTATACTTACACCTTACCGTTTTTGAAATATTTTCAATTTTGTGAAATTGTAGTCAAAATTTTAAAGCTTCATTTCTCCAAGGGTATCAATGTTTTTAATACTAAATATTTAATGAAGTTTATTTATTGATCAGTTATTGTGTTGCAATAATAAAAATAATAGTACCTTATACACAGTGTCTAAAAATTTATTTTAAATAATTATTAGCTTCAAACGGCAATAACTTCTTTAATTTAAATGGAATGCCCTATATATTTTAGGAGAATCAGATGCACAATTAAATTGTCTATCAAATTGTATTATACCATTTTTTACCTATCCCTTCAAGTTTTCGTAGAAAATGCATTTTCTTCTAAATTAGACCTCATTTATCAATATATCTATGGAATATTGACATTTTAGATTGTTTTTAAAGCAACAAATGTACAAAATGTACAGACTAGTAATATTATCGTTTTTAGCAAAACGATAATATTACTAGCCCATTTGTATGCAAAAAGAAAACTATTTAAATCTTTATAAAAGGGTATACCATTAATTAAATATAACACCATTATTTCCGCCCATATACTAATTAATGACATACTTAATTGTGTTCGCTAATAAATTATTATAAATAAATGTGGATTTTTGAGTCAGAAATCAATATAATAATAAGTTATCAAATTAAAGCCTTTGTTGTTATAAATAAGCATTTATTAAAAAATGAAATATCATTTTTAAGATGTTACTTTTTATCACACTGTCTAATCCCATACAAAATTCAGTTTTTTAGTATTTGGAGCAATTATTATTAATCAACGCAAACAGTCAGTTAATGTAGTTTGAATACTGGAATCATATTAATTGATCCTCTTTAACAAATATTTAAACACTTTTTTTTTATTTTTCAATGAAATAAACGAATTATATCGACAATATTACTATCTGTACTCTTTAAAAATTTGGTACATCTTTAAAAATAATCTAAAATGTCAATAGTCCATGGGTATATTGATAAATAAGTTCTAAATTACAAGAAAATGCATTTTCTACGGAAACTTAAACAGATAGGTAAAAAATGGTATAATATAATTTGATAGACAATTAAATTGTGCATCTGATTCTCGTAAAATATACAGTCTATTTAAATTAAACAAGTTATTACCGTTTGAAGCTAATAATTATTTAAAATAAATTTTTAGACACTCTGTATAAGGTAGTATTATTTTTATTATTGCAACACAATAACTGATCAGTAAATAAACCAGTAAATATTTAGTATTAAAAACTTTGATACCCTTGGAGAAATGAAGCCTTAAAATTTTTACTGCAATTTCACAAAATTGAAAATATTTCAAAAACGGAAAGGTTTAAGTATAATAAACCTTAATCAAATTTACCTTTATTTTAATCGTAGAAACTAAAAATGTAATAATATACAGGGTGTTCCATTTAAAAAAATACAACTTTGATATTTTTTACTTATTTGGAACACTCTGTATCTTGTAAAATTATTTTTAAATTGTACCTCTAATAGTCCTTCATCAAACCCAAAACTTACAATTTGTAAAAATCTCATCGTTTAGCTACAATACTCCGTGTCGTATGTGGTGAACAACCCTGTATAAAATCCTTAAGTGACTGACATACTGATTAATCACGATCCTGTTCAAACCACTCAACGTAAGAAGCTCAATTTTGGCACATTATTTTGTTGTTTTACATATTTTAAGATTTTTTTATAAATTTATACAGGGTGTTTCATAAAATATGACCATTGAGTAATCACGATTTTTAAATATTTTGAAATTTTTTAAAAAATCATACAGGGTGTTCCAATAAGTTGGGTAATTTCTTAACCACGATTCAGCTTAAACTGCTTGACGTAAAAAGCTTATTTTTGGCAAACGGATTTTTCGAAAGTCAAATTCCAACGAGATGAAACTACCCCTTAAATATTACCAAGTTATATAATAATATCGCCATATTGTTTTTTCTCATGCTGACATAAATGTGAGAAAATTTTATCCAGTTTGTATGTGTATGTGCTTTGTCATCACCATTACAAGTCGCGGGTACACGCTAATCTTAACATATTTCTTTAAATTCAAAACATTCATTTTTAAGACACGTCGTATACATAAATAATTATTGATTTTTAAAATATTTATTCGTAAACTACAGAGAGGAAAATCAGACAACGAATAGAGTGATAGGTGCTAGGTAATAGCTTTTAGCCTACCGTTCGAGACGCATTGATGTTATTTTGGTTTATAAGTCATGACTATTGTAACAAAGAATGTTATTAAAGGTAAAGTAAAGGTTTCCTCATCACTAGATTGAATTCAATTAACTAAAAAACGCCTGTTCTTACCTTGAGGTAGAAATCCTGCCTCGATCATTTTGGCCTCCATCAGTAGTTTGGGAATCAGCAGACAGAATGAGATGGCTATATGAATGAATGGAGCTGTAGGACCCCCGTATCGAAACAACCCGCAGCCCCCTCCTGTAGTAAGGATTTCAGGAGGCTCCCTGCTGCACATGGACATCTGCCGGCCGAGTTTGTAACCATCATTAGCCAGGTTGCCTATCTGAAAATTCAAGGAGACACATTTTATTTGATTCTTTTTGACTTGAAAATAGTGGAAAATAACAAAATGGAAACTTAAAATTTTAATGTTTGCTAACATAATATTTGATTACAATGCAAAAACATAACTTTTTTATATCATAAAACATATCGAAAAGCAAGAGTTTCGAATAGAAATTTTAATCGGTATCGACTAGTGGAGATAGATACACTAGTATCGAATAGATACTTTTTCCACATCACTAGTGTCTATCTCCATAGCTCTCAAAGGACATCGAAGCATTTGGAGCAGCTTAGAGGGAAATTCGAGGACCGTAAATAGGTAATCTCGTCGAGGGGGTAACGAAACGTTACGATCCAATAAAAAAGGGGGAAAATTAGGTTATGGAACGAACCGTTGGAAAGGGATAATACGCGACGAGCGGCGAATTCGAGAAATTTTAGATTTCACAGGCTGTCAATCGTGAAATTTACAAATTTCTAATCGATAAGAGACCGAAAAAGACCACTACGTAATAAGGCTATATAATAATCTCGCCATATTGTTTTTCTCATGCTGACATAAATGTGAGAAAATTTTATCCAGTTTGTATGTATGCGTTTTGTCATCACCATTAAGGTCGCGGGTACACGCTATCTTAACATATTTCTTTAAATTCAAAACATTCATTTTAAGCTATATATCATCGCCGCATACATAAATAATTATTGACTTTTAAAATATTTATTCGTAAACTAGAGAGAGGAAAATCAGACAACGAATAGAGATGATAGGTGTTAGGTAATAGATTTTAGCCTACCGTTCGAGACGCATTGATGTTATTTTGGATTGTAAGTCTTGACTATTGTAACAAAGAATGTTATTAAAGGTAAAGTAAAGGTTTCCTCATCACTAGACTGAATTCAATTAACTAAAAAACGCCTGTTCTTACCTTGAGGTAGAAATCCTGCCTCGATCATTTTGGCCTCCATCAGTAGTTTGGGAATCAGCAGACAAAATGAGATGGCTATGTGAATGAATGGGGCTGTAGGACCCCCGTATCGAAACAGCCCGCAGCCTCCTCCTGTAGTGAGGATTTCAGGGGGTTCCCTGCTGCACATTGACATCTGCCGGCCGAGTTTGTAACCATCATTAGCCAGGTTGCCTATCTGAAAATTCAAGGAGAAACATTTTATTTGATTTAAAAATAGCGAAAAATAACAAAATGGAAACTTAAAATTTTAATGTTTGCTAACATAATAATTGATTACAATGCGAAAACATAGCTTTTTTATATCTTAAAACATATCGAAAAGCAAGAGTTTCGAATAGAAATTTTAATTCGGTATCGACTAGTGGAGATAGATACACTAGTATCGAATAGATACTTTTTCCACATCACTAGTGTCTATCTCCATAGCTCTCAAAGGACATCGAAGCATTTGGAGCAGCTTAGAGGGAAATTCGACGACCGTAAATGGGTAATCTCGTCGAAAGGGTAACGAAACGTTACGATCCAATAAAAAAGGGGGAAAATTAGGTTATGGAACGAACCGTTGGAAAGGGATAATACGCGACGAGCGGCGAATTCGAGAAATTTTAGATTTCACAGGCTGTCAATCGTGAAATTTACAAATTTCTAATCGATAAGAGACCGAAAAAGACCAAAAACCAAGCTCTAAAATAAGAAATTCAGGTTTATTTTGGGCTTTACATTATCTAGCTTTTTGTAATAGAAAAAGAATCTTATATCTTTTATTATTTATTATATTTCTTCTATTCTATTTTAAGAAAGGTTATACTTTAGCACAATTCAAGCTATTTACTTACAAAATTATTAAAAATTATTGCCTTCCCTAATTATTTTAGTGAATAATTCTATTAAGGTTTATTGAAGAGCACTAAAACCCACATTCAAAAGAATAACTTTAGATATTTTTGATCAGCTCGTTTACGAGTTATCTCCGATTTCTTTTTAAATATTTCTCCTTTCTTATGGCTCTGTATTTACTTATGAGCACCAGTCAAGGTAAAAGATAACCGTCAAATGAAGTTGTCATTTCAGAAATTTATCTATTTAGTGATTTATTATTATTATTAAAAACTCATACCTACATCGAAAATATTAGCCATGAATTACACTACCGAAGAAAAAGTATTGATGATTAAATGGTATTATCAAGGAAATAGTTATCAAAAGGTGTCGGACATGTTTGCTGCTCTGTATCCGAATAGACCGATACCTGGAAAATCTACAATCGCAAGGAATATCCAGAGATTTGAGACCAAAGGTACCCTAATAAATAACTGCAGATGTGAAGCAAGGCAGGAACAAAGAGAAGATGCAAGAAATGATACCGACTTGGAAGTTTTATTGTGCGTGGAAGAGAACGATGGAAAGATCAGCACAAGGAAACTTGAGGATGAAATAGGAATAGATCACACTACAGCGTTTCGAATTTTGAAACGACATAAATACTATTCCTTCAAATATGAAAAGCACCAAGAGCTACGAGATGGGGACGAAATACGGCGGCAGGCGTTTTGTTTTGATATGATGGAAAGAGCAAACACGGATAGGGAATTTTTAAAAAACATATGTTTCACTGACGAATGCACGTTTACCTTAAATAATGAACCCAATGTTCAAAATTATCGATATTGGAACAAAGAAAACCAACACAGGTTTGTCGAAACAAGGACGCAATATCCACAGAAAGTAAATGTTTGGGCAGGGATATTCGGACACAATATTGGGTCATTATTTCTTACCAATTGTCAAGAATATTATTTGGAACTACTCGAAAATCCTTTACCTGCTACATGATGCCGCTAGGAAAATCAGGAAGTTTGTTTAAATGGATGGCTGCCGGCACATAGTACCCTGGCTGTTCGGGAATATTTAGACAATAGTTTTAACGGAAACGTTATTGGCCTAAATCATACAGTAAATTGGCCAGCAAGGTCTCCTGATATTTCGCCAAATGATTTCTTTCTCTGGGGCCATTTAAAAAACAGGATACACAAGGATAAAAAATACCCAAATCTAGACGAGTTAAATAATGCTATTTCTGCCGAATGCAATAGAATTTCAGTTTACCAACTAGAGAATTTTATGATCGCCGGGGTTATTGTCTAGTAGTCGATAGAAGAATATTTGAACATCTTAAATCCTAAAGTTTTAACAATTTAATAATACCTAAATTAATAAGTTATTGAATATTGTAATAATACTATAATTAACCTTGTAATTGATTATTTATTTTACTTTAATTCATATTAATTTGTATTTATAAATACATCTTTAAGATTTCCGATGTAGGGATGAGTTTTCAATAATAATAAAGCACTAAATAGGTAAATTTCTGAAATGACAACTTCATTATTTGACAGTTATCTTTTATCTTGACTGGTGCTCATAAGTAAATACAGGGCCATAAGAAAGGAGAAATATTTAAAAAGAAATCGGCGATAACTCGTAAACGAGCTAGTCAAAAATATCTAAAGTTATTCTTTTGAATGTGGGTTTTAGTGCTCTTCAATAAACCTTAATAGAATTATTCTCTAAAATAATTAGGGAAGGCAATAATTGACCCCATTAAAATTTACATGGGATTTCCTATGTCCCGTCCGACGATGCAACACCCGGTATACAGAATAACCAAATTTAATTTGTTTTTTTGTCAAAAAGTGGCACTAAATTTGGGGATTCAATTAACATGTGTGCACTTGTTGGGGAATCGCTACTGGTTTAAATAAAAGCTTGTTTTGCTTACCTTTAGTATTGCCACAGAGAAAAAGATTGGCAATAGAAGAAAGACTGCTCCGTTGAGACCCAAACTGCAATTCAGCTCAAAGTAAGGCAATCCATCAGGCCAAGACAATACAGAATATCCTGCAATAGAAAATACACAAAAAATAGTGTTAAATAACTTGAATATGTTTTAGTTATTTTTTATACAAGACCGAAAAGATTAATTCACGAGCGATGAAACCGCGGGTGAATTAATTTCGGGACACGATAATGCAATCGTCGTGTATAAAACAATATTTTTTCCGTTTTAAAAAATATTCAGAAATAATTATTTCAAGGAATTTATTACGAGTAGAAAAAATATTGTGCTGGGTTGGCGTTGGTTTCTATGTAAGATGACAAATAAATAAAGCTGTCTCTTTGGTTGCCAGCAGGGGGGTGACAGTAAACCGGAAAATTGGAAACAGTTCTGGCGTGGTCCTACCCAGGCAGAAAGCATGGCCTTCTAGACTGTCCTAGACAAAAATCTGAAGCTTATTTCTAGATGATTTCTGTCAATTTCTGTTACGGAACATTTTTGTGCACGTCGGCGCCCTCTTCTTTTGTCTGTGTGTCAGCAATGTGCCAACTCCCGAGGCCTCTGTCAAGGTCGGGCGCCATTTTTATTTTGCCGTTTAGAGTTGATTGGAAGTTTGTTTGTGATATTTCGGCTGAAATTTTAAGTACAAAGTGGTTTTTTGATATAAAGTTCCTTGTTAACACTTTAATAAGTATATATGATATTATTACATGAAGAAAATGATAAAATCCACGTTTCTGCGTGTAGTAGGTATGGGCCATATTATAATGTAAAAAATAGGTAATATATTAACTGTCTTTATATTTTTTTAGCTTTAGACCCAAGGATCTTGGGATATCCTTTGCCAAGGATTTTTTCCGTATCTCTACTTTAAAGACTGATCGGTGATTTTGAGCAATTTAAAAAAGTTTATAAAGGTAAAATTTAGTGATTATTGAGACTATTATTAGCCTACTTAATTACTACAAGATGAACAGAAATGTGTAATTACATATCACATAGGTTCCTATTATGTGTTTTCATAGCAATAATGCAATAAATCTTACTGATAATGTTGATTATTTAAAATAAAATGACGGGTATTAGATGTATATGTATCATTTTATTCATTTTATTTTCATTCAAAGTTCCTGTTTTGATTTAATTCACAAAGTCTTATGTACCTAATATTTATGTTTTTTTACATATTGTTTTTTGGATTTCCAGGTTTTGCGTGGGTTCCTGTTGTTTTTTTTTTTTTTTTTTTTTTTTTTTTTTTTTTTAGTTTTTTTAGAGAAAACATATATTTATTCTTCAAGTTTCTTCAAGTCAATGCACTGTTATTTTACTAATTCACTTTAACAGATATTATTATTTTGATTGATTGATACAGTAGCTTCTATGTGTTTATAGCTCTTTATTTGTGTTGATTTGCATATTTACATTGTTCTCAATTCCAAATAAATATTATATTTAAAAAAAAAAAAAAAAAAAAAAAAAAATAGAAAGATTAAAAAGTATTTAACCCTCATTTAAACCTCCTGTACAGCCCGCCATTAAAAAACCGGAAACGGAAATAAATTTCATAAAAATTTGAAATGTCATTGTCTAATGTTCATGTCAAATTTCCCAGCCGCCATATCTGAAAAATAGTTACCCAGGCAGCCACGCTTTTTCCATAATTTAACATTGACTGGACACTTCTTCTTTGTATTATTATTTTATGGTTGCCAGCTTGAGTCAATATTTTTTTAATTCTCTTTCGTAAGATTCGGTGTATAATATGAAATAAAAAAAAAAAAAGGAATACAAAATTTTCAAAAATGGAAAGCAATTTAAAAACGTGCGTAGCAAGAAATAAAGTTTTTAACCTATCCTCGCTGTTAAAGTATCATTTAGTCTACCCTTGCTGTTGAAGTACTATTTTATCTAGTATTTTTGATAGATATAAGGCAATTTTAACAGTTGCTATGGAAAAAAACACTATATTCTTATTAGAGTGTGTATGTTCTTTAATTAAAAATTATTCTCTTTTATTGTGTTACAAGAATACTCTATAAATTAAAAAGGACATAGCTCTATATACCAGCTAATTGTCTGTACTAAACGAGATAGAAATTAAACTAAACTGCTCTGTCTGCAGCTGACAAGCTTCAGCTGCACGAAATAAGACAAAACGACCTAGCTCTAAGGTAAAGGGAATGACAATAGAGAGCTGGCTGTAAATAGGAATATGTGCAGCTAAATTTCAGATGCATATGACTGAAATTGAAGGGAAAATATTTATGAGAAAAGACAATAATTTTATTCATTCTTAGTGATAACATTTTCCATATACAGGGTGGTCCGAACTGTATTCCGGAAACTTCGGCAGCATATTCTGCAGATAAAAATAAGTAAAAAAGTTCGTATAAATGTATGTTCTAAAATGCTTAGTTTCGGAGATACAGGGTGTAGAAGTTTCATTTTTATTCGATTTTTTCCAAATAATTTCTGAAGTAACGTCAATATTCTGGATAAAAAATTGTGTCTAGGTTTCTTGACATAGAAATTTTGATTTTTTTATGGTCAATATCCTCTACTAGTAGAAGGCGCCACCTACATGTGTTTTAACTGTTTTGAAGCGTCATAACTTTTTCTCCGTACCCGTATATAACTACCGAAGGAAAAAATCTACATCTCTGTGATTTTTTACGTAAAAAATGTATCTTTGTAAAAATCGCTACGAGCAGCCGTTCTCAAGATATTTAGAATGGAAATAGTCAATACATGCATTATTAAAACACGTTGATGAAGTTAGGATATAGTATTTCCACTGAAATAATACACATTGGGAAATAAAATAAAAATTGTTTTTCCTGCAAAAAATTACTATTAAAACATAATAAAAAAAAAAAAAATTGTACAAAATTTTTTTCAATTATTGATTTTCAGTCTATAACTATTTAGTCAACATGTATGTTTTAATTTTGTCAATGATTGACAGGTATTGATTAATTTCGATTCAAACATTATCTCAAAAACCATTATCGTAGCGATTTTTCCAAAGAGACATTTTTACGTAAAAAACGTCCGTAATGTATATTTTTTTACTCAGTAGTTTTATCAGGTACGGACGAAAATTATTCTCTTCAACTAGGTTATAAAAATATGTAGGTGGCGCCCTCTACAAACAGGAGTCATATTTAAATCCAAAATCAAATTTCCATGTCAAAAACTCCCAGACACCAATTTTATTCCAAATAATTAATCTTCATACAATAATTTTATTTAAAAAAAATCGAAAAAAAATGAGGACTTTAACACCCTGTAAATATATATTTTTTTGCTTATTTTTATTTGCAGAATATGGTGCCGAAGTTTCCGGAATTCAGTTTGACCACCTTGTATACCGGGTGCGTCTCAAAAGTGACTCACCCCTGTAACTTTTTTATTTTTACAGTTAAAAAAACGAGATTTGGTATGTTAGTATATGACATAAATTAGGATTGATTGACGTATTCAATAGTTTTCTGTCACTTCCTGTTTCACCGGAAATGACTACAAGTTTTGATTTTTAAATGGCACCCTCGCACAGTGGGGTATTTGACACAGATAGTTGATCGAAATTTTTTTATGTAGACCTTATATAAATTATTGCTATTTTCAATTAAAGAGGAAATAATATGAACAAAATAAAGGATAATTCGTCGATTCTAAAAAAATAAAGAAAAATCATGTTCCAGTGTTTCCAGTCAATGCCACTAATGCCAGTAATATCGCAACTAATACTACTAATGCTAGTACTGATCCGCGAGCAATGCCCATACCACTAAAGTCGCTTCTAATGCCAAATTGTGCTATACTGCTAATGGCACTAAAGCGATCGCTTTGTACACAACTATGCCATCGCGGTTTCACACTGAGTAGTGGGAACTATCGAATGAAAACTATCGAAACATTCGATAGATGCAATTCATTCGAATAATACAATAGTTATAAAAATATTAAAAAAAAAAAAAAAAAAAAAAAAAATTATCGAATAGATTCCGTTCATATGCCTTGTTAAATTTGTATGCTAGTTAATTCGTGCAGACAAAACCATTCATTTATTAAAATTCATTCATTTATGAAAATTCATTCATTCGTCAGGATCGGATTATTAATAATATATACTGAATTTTAGTTGTCGCCCGGCGACGTAGGCTTCTTTCCGAGAAACCCTGACAGCGGTTCGGTGGCAATGCTATGAAAGAAGCCGGCATCTTTGATTTTTTGCGGAGTCAGATATTGATAAGGACACATTATTTTTTTTATTGAGATGGCTTAGTATTTACACAGCAATACACTTATGAAGGGCGCTGTTTGCCATATTTTGGTATTAGTTGATATTAGCAAAGATATTATGTTTGGCTTAGTATCAATTCAGGGATATATACGACATTACTAATAATTCTGCTTTTTTTTATTCAATATTACTGTTGGTACACTGCAATAATACTTGTTGTTTTGGATGTAGGAAAATTATTTTTTAATGTTTTAAAAAAAAAAAACTGTTTTAATAATTAATAATAACAACAAATAAAAAAAAAAAAAAATTAACACAATTAAAAATATTTATAATTAAATTTTCTACAAAAAAAAAAAAAAAAAAAAAAAAAAAAAAAAAAATGTTCAAAATTATTTATATTAATCCTATTTAAAAAATACATATAGTCTTCTAAATTTTTTGCAACGTTGGTCTTATTAAATAATTAATAATTACATAACTAATTTGTTATATTAACAACAAATTTTCAAAATCATGAAATATAAACATTTATTAATTTAAAAAAAAAAAAAAAAAAAAAAAAGGAAAATATAAATAAAAAATAGAAATCAAAATTATTTATATTAGGTGCTTTATATTACTATTTAAAATTATATTCAAAAAAAAAAAAAATTACTTTTAAAAAAATAAATGAAATCAATTTTTTCCTTCGCAAAAAAACTACATGTAAGAGAATAGCAGTAAACAAAAAATACAAACATCGTAACTTTTTTATTAATTGGCACGTCGTTTAAAACTTTCATTTTATTTTCTCATCCCATAATTTGAGTTCGATAACCATTATTTAAACATGATATTACATGACCACATTACTTAAATATGATTATTAAGTTTAACTAATTCATATTATTAAAACATCTAAATACAAATATGTATTTTTAAATTAATGTATAGTTCATCTCATCTCTTCTTAAAAAATTTGCTACTCTCAAATCCCATTAAAAAAAAATATTTTTTTTTTTTTTTTCAAATTAAAATAACTCAGATCGGGGACTACGGAAAACACAGATAATTTTTGAAAAATTTTGACCACCTGCACATTCACACAATCGTTCAATAAATAAATTAAAAAATAACATACAAAAAAAAAAAAAAAAAAAAAATAAACGCAAAAAATAGCACAGTATTTATACGGAGTTATAAATTTGGAAAGAACTAGAAAAAAAAAAAAAAAAAAAAAAAAAATCAAACGAATACTAAATTTCATTTATCAAAAGCATTCGATACTCGTGGCTCAACGATAACCATTTAGTCGCACGGCCAGGTTGTCACTTATGCTTTAGTTTACAAATGAATGAATGATTTTATTCGAATAAAACCATTCGATAGTTGAAATCATTCATTCATTAACCATTCGACAGTCTAATTCATTCGATAGTTCCACCATCCCAATTTACCACCTCGGCATTTGTATATCACTGATTGGCAGATTAGAGGAAACCAAGAATGTTTTTCTTCATTTATCAGGCAAAATCGCAAAAAAGTCGCGAGTATTTTTATTTTATTGTATGAAAGCCCAATGTTACTAAGTAAAACGTATATAAAAACCATTGACTGAATTCTTTCGAAATGCGCAACGTAAATCTCTAACTATAATAAAAGTGTCACAAATTTAAATCAAAATTTTCTGAACGCCTAACTTTTTAGTTGCATAAAAAAAATCGTTTGTATAGGGAATATCAAAATAATATAATATTTTTGTAGAATAGATACCTGCAGCTTGCTGAGCCATTATCAATCCAAACATATATAAACGTAAAAAAGAGCAACCAGAACAACAACAATTTTATAATTTTAAACATAAGATTTAGCCATTTACCTCTTATCTGTGAGAAGCAACAACTTTGACGTTTCGTTGAAACAAATGAATGCAACTAAACACACCCATAGCAACGCCATTCATGGCAGACATGATTTAACTTTTCATTTATCTTTTTTTGGGAAATCTTAAAACACATTTGCTTTTTCGAATTTCGATCACCTTTTTCATGCTAATACCCCACCGTGCCTCGCCTCGGTACTTTTTTACTTTATTCGATAGAAAATAACACACTGAATAGAATGACATATCATATGTCAACTTTTGACATTTTCGCATATGGTTTATTTGAAATTATAACTTGCGGTTCGTAACGAAAATTTGACTCGAAATACCAAGTTGTGGTATCAAAATTATTTCGTTAAAAAAATGCTTTTCCAATATGCAATGGAGAGCCACCCTCTTCCAGTTGGAAAATGAAATATGATTAAAAATACGATTTGAGCATTTTCTAACTGGCAGAAAAAAATACACTGAAAAACATATAGACAACCAAATGTATTTTTCCAAAGCTCCTTGAATTAAAATTAGTATTTAAACAAAGCCATGGCACTCTCTAGATTGAATCTTTAAAATTTAATTTGTTTTTAAGCCGAGAATCTCAAAAGTTGACATATTTTCATATTGTCATTCTATTCAGATGTCATTTTCTATCGAATAAAATAAAAAAAACGAGGGTGCCATTTAAAAATCAAAAGTTGTAGTCATTTCCGGTGAAACAGGAAGTGACCAAAAACAATTGAATACGTCAATCAATCCTAATTTATGTCATATACTAACATACCAAATCTCGTTTTTTTATCTGAAGAAATAAAAAAGTCTATAGGGGTGAGCCACTTTCGAGACGCCACCCGGTATACCCGTAGTTGAATAGTTCGATTATTTTTTTGTTTAAAACCTTGAACAAATTAGACAAAATAGCTGCAATGCCTGCTTGTATAACTTCTTTCGCAGCGATTTTAAAAACCACTAACAAATAGTAATCAATTTTTGTGTATGTGTGTGAACAAAAAATATTCGTTTCGATTTTAGTTGTTTAGTTAGGTTAATTTAGTTGATACTTAAAGAAGACTTACCCAATATTTTCTTCAAACACTTGTAAGCCAAATACCCCTGCACTCCAGTACAGAACACCCCGTACCATATCGACCACAGATTATTCAAGTGCACTCCACCTTTTTTCTTTGATTTTTTCGTGGCCACAGCGCTCGTGCTTGAATCGGCATCGCACGACTTGATCGCCTGGTACGTGCCCTTGCTTGATTTACTTGACTCGCTCATTTTCTTGATCTCCTTGATTTTCTTCACCTCATGATTATCGTCGAATTTGGTAGGGGTGGGCGATACGGAGGTGTGCATCGTTGCCAAGTCTACCGTCGGTCGTGGAAGCCTGGAAAAAAGAAATAAAGTCAATAAAGAAATTGATCTTAAGAGCCTATTAAGCTGTAATGTACGGGTAGCTCTCAAGGGTCAGGTAAAGCAGATGTATGGCCGAAGGAAATATATATTATATTTCAGAAATCTGCCCAAGGTTTAGCCCGATTCTGTCGTGTTAAGCCACACCCAAAATTCCAAACACACGTGCTTGGATTAAGGCTTGATTTAGGGTTGCAGAGCTTCAGCGTTTGCCATAAAACAGCGAGCAATTTGTTACAAAACCCTATAATTATATCATTCATGTAATACAAAACTTCATCTATTTCCGTTTTTGTAACGGAATTTGAATAATGTCTTTATTTTCGAGAAAATTTAGTCCAAACATCAAGGATACTGTTGATGTTTGACCATTCAAAATCTTAAAAATAAACAAGTTGTCTAAAAATGTGCTACAATACGGATATAGTATAATCCTTTATCTTTAATTTCCTTCTTAATTTGTGTAAAAATACCTAGCCAGTTTTACATAAAACGTTAATTATTTTGCTACTTTTTCGGACTAGTAAAATGGACTCTTAAGAACAGCAAATAATAACAGCAAAAAATATGACGTTAATCAAAATTAATAAATGACCATCTATTGAAGAATGAAATCAAAATTATATTATCATAGAAACTTAGGAAAAAAATCGACTATATTTTTTTAAATTTTCTCCAAAACTGTGTGCTAAAACAATCTATTTTTTTAATCTCCACTTTAAATCTAAACAATTTGAATTATTCCTGATGGCAACTCTACTTGTTGCGTGTGATAAAGATCCTCATTAAGCGCAAATCTAATTAAACATTTTGTTGGAAATTGAAATGAAATAAAACAAAACCTCCATCGGAGCTAAATCTTAATTAAATTAATGAAATTCATCCCCTCCGGGGTGTTATATCGTGCGTGCGTGAGCCTATAGAACCAATTTGTGGATATTTAGTTTCCTACCCCACTTAAATAAACACGTGCAGTCTACGGGTTGTGTCCAAACATTGGACCACAAATACGGATTTAGTCGATACACCTCAAATACTGGGGTATCTTTGCCGTATATTGGACAGTATAAATTTCATTATTAGTAGTGTCTATTGTGATGGATATTTTGCTTTATTATTCCTATTTTTTTGTCTCTGTACGATAGAACCAAAGAAAAAATATATAGAGAATGTTTAGCCATTGTTCAACGTCACGTCATTTATATTTTGTCGAACTCTCTCAATCACTTGCCAACCAGATGAAAGAGGTTGGTGACGTCATTACGGCATTTCTTAAATTACTACCCTAGATCATAATAATATATACTTATTTTACGTGGATAAGTAAATCACTATGGAAACTGTCGCAAACATATCAACGACTTCCATTTATCTTCTTTTTTTGTTGCTCACGCGGTGCTTCTACTCTATTTATCCTTGTCGAGGGACCTATCGTCCACGAGCCAAATTTGAACATTAATTTTAAAAATTTAATTTGTAAAAATATAAAGTAACAAAATACCGAGGGTTCCATTTAAAAATCAAAAGTTGTAGCCATTTCCGGTGAAACAGGAAGTGGCCGAAAATAATTGAATACGTCAATGAATCCTAATTTATATCATATATACTAACATAACATATCTCGATTTTTTATCTGAAAAAATAAAAGAGTTATAGGGGGTGAGCCGCTTTTAAAAAACACTCGGTCAGTGGCGTCAGGGTCAGGGGGAGGGCCCATGGGGCCCGGGCCCCCCCTAAAGTCTGTGAATTGTGTAAAATATTAGGCTTTGGGGTTAAAAATGGCGTTAGTTAAAAAATATTCTACATTGCTTTTCGTTTTGGGCCTCCCTAAAATAAATTTCTGTATCCGCCCCTGCACTCGGTATACATTCTTTGTATTTTTAAAAGATTTAAAGGAATAAAATTAAAACTAGATTATTTTAATTATTCTTAACCAACAACTTCCACTTCTTAAATAACTCCCTTCAAAGTAGAATTCTTCTTTTTCTTTTTGTAAAGTACTCTGGGTAATTCTTCATTTCGGATTCTCAAGCCAAAGCTGAATCTCATCATTAATTCGGCTTTAATTTTGGCTTTAATATTACAATTTCCCGATGTTACCTCGAGAAATATAAAGTCTCTAACTTTTACCTTTCATTTTTTGAAACTCTGAACTAAGGGACATTTTTAAAAAGATACAGTCCTAGGGAAAATATAATAAATTACACTTTAAGAGTTTTTCTTCCTGGGTATTTATTCGTATTATGGGACAATGATAAATATAAAAAAATAAAAAAAAAAGATCTGGACGATATATTTTATTTTATCAACCTTTTAAAATACTTCATACTTTCTACTTTTTTTGAAACAAGAAGTATCAATGCTTTTAGGACTCTTTCTATTTTATTTTATACATTTTCTTTATTAGATTTCGTTATTTTCCTCTGGAGAAAATTGAATTTGACCACATCCACTTTGTTCAATAGTATCCAAGGCTTTGTCTGCTATTGGCCTGGCATTTTGTAAGTACTCTTTCTGTTGACAAGAAAAGCTTTTTGAAGTCAAGCTCAAACGTTAACTAGAAACCCTTTTTCTTCAAGAAACCAACAAAGCTCGAGAAGAAATACACAAAAACAATTAGGAGAGACTTGAATATAAAAATCGTCTTAGAAGATAAGAGAATTGAAAAATATACTTCTATTAAAATAATTGTGCTGGTTTGTGGTATTGAACTGTTGAACTTTTGGCACAAAACATTTCAAATTTATGATTTTTTTTTATTTTATTTAACTATTTAGTCAAACTGTTTAATTTATGTGCCATGATGACAGGGTATTGATAATTTCGAAAACAATCTCGAGAACCATTACTAGTAGCGATTTTTCCAAGAAACTTTTTTTTACGCAAAAAAAAACGTCGAAAATATATTTTTTTACTCAGTAGTTAGATACAGGTACTCGTAGGTGGCGCTTCTAAAAGTAGGAAATCATTTCGACATTTAAATTCCAAATTTTCTCATGTCAAAAAACTCCCAGCACCAATTTTTATGCAAATATATTGACGTTATTCAGAAATTATTTAAAAAAAAAAAAAAAAAAAAAAAAAAAAAAAAAAAAAAAAAAAAAAAAAAACTAAAAACTTTTTTACTTATTATTATTTGCAGAATATGATGCCGACATTTCCGGAATACAGTTCGGACCACCCTGTATGGTCTTTGGTCATCTTGTCTTGTTTGTGTCTTATAGGTCTAAAAAATAAAAGAAAGGCTTGTTCTTCTACTTCAATGGTTGATGCCGACTTAATGATATGTAAATAAGTGTAAACTGTGTTCATTTTTGTTTCAAAGCATAAAATGCACACATCAAATACATAATTTTTGCTTACAGATGAAAATAAGTGCGTGATCTTGTAAGGTCTTCTTATGCCTATAATATTCTGCATCCTGTAAAGGACAAACCATCGAACATAAAACAGCGTCAATAAATAGACAAAGTGGGAGATACACAATCGAAGAGGGCTGGGAATAAGGAAGTCCCAGGAAATTCCACGGAGCTCTTCGATTTCGATATTGGAATTTAATTAAAAAGACTTGAAAACTGATCCCCGTCTTGCGGTCGCTTTGGTAACCAAAACCCACGCGGTAAAATAGCTTCGTTTGAATTTCACATCGAAGACCCGTCGTTGTTGTTGTTGCTTTGAGGGACTATAGTTATTTACTGATAATGTATGACTGCGTTCCCATCGTTCAACGTCACGTCATCATTATTTGTCAAATATGAGTTTTAGGGTGTGTCTGAGATCACTTCATATTGTTAATTTTAAGTATCTTCCTATATTATTCATTGAGCGAGTTTCGTTTATCTTTTTCGGTATTTATTAATTTTTTCTTGAACTCTTCATCAATTACGATCCCTTTAGTTCAAAACATTCTTTGGACTGTTGAAATTCCTATTTCTAAAGCAACAGCAACTTGCTATATTATTTAAAAGCGCTATCAATTTGTATTTTACATAGGAATATTACACCTTTACATTGTACCCTAGATCATATATACTTACGTGGATAAATCAAAGCCATAAGTTTAACATTAAAAAATATGTCTCCAACATCACGACATGCCATTTTCAAACCTTCTTTATTGCACTTATGAAACGTTTATACGGTTTAGAAAGTACAAATTATACATTGTTATGGAAATCAACTTTTCATTGTCATCATATTGTCATAATTTGTTTCAAATACGGTTTATTTGAAATTGCAACATGCGATTCATAACGACAATTATTAACTCGAAATACCAAGTGTGTGGTATCAAATTATTCGTAAAAAAATGCTTTTTCCAAATATGCTAATGAGCCACCCTCGTTCCATTTGAAAAAATTGAAATATGATTAAAAATACGATTTGGGCATTTTTTAATTGGCCAATACAAGACACAAAAACCATTAGACGATCAAATCTATTTTCAAGGCTCCATTGATTAAAAATTAGTGGTTTTACACACAGCCATAGACACCTCTGCTTAGATTTTGAAATTTAAAATTATTTTTTTTTTTTTTTTTAATTAAAAATGTCAAAAGTTGACATACGATATGTCATTCTATTCAGAGTGTCATTTTCTATCGAATAAAGTAAAAAATACAGAGGTTGTATTCATTTCCGGTGAAACAGGAATAAAGTGACCGAAAACAATTGAATACGCCAATCAATCCTAATTTATGTCATATACTAAAATACCAAATCTATTTTTAGTATAATTACCATTAATCACATTTCGAAACATAACAGAAACATAAAATATTAGAATAAATATAAAAAAGTTAAAATAGCTGTTTATTATTCTGTGGAAATTTTAATATTTTGGGTATACTCAACTGGAGATTATGTTCTTTATTCCAACTTTAAGGGATGCGTGAAAATCAAGCTTTAATAGTGTTACTTATATTATTGTACTCCTGTAAGGCTTTGAGGACATTTTCGTTAACCTCTTTACATTTCTTCATAAATCACGTTCTGAACCAGCCAAAGTTTGTAATTTACCTGATAATTCAGTAACTTTTTGAAGACTTTCCGAATTAGTAAACTGAATGAGATTGTTGGACGTTTTAATGAGTTCAACTCTTGCCTTTAACTACAAAAATAATACTTGAATTTCATGCTACTATCTCGTAAAAGTCTGTTTTATACCTCTGGATATATCTGCAACAAATACTGCTTTTTTATATCAGCTTCCAAATCATATTCACCACTCGATGGGTCGAGATACTCATTGATTGTGTGCATATGTTGTAAGAGTGATGTGACCGATTCTCTACAGCTTAGAGCTGAAGATATCATTGTTTGGGTTTCAGTTAAAAGATCAGCAATAGTTTGAGATTTGTTACTGAGAAATGATTTGTCTTTTGGCAATATTTGCAGTTCCAAAGCTTCTATACGTTTCTCTAATAAATCAACAGCATCCATATCTAAAATTGCTAATAGATATAAGTTATAGATAATAAAAAGAAAATGTTGTTACTTCTACACCAATTCAGTACCTGCAACACGAAATTACAGTTCATATCGAACAAGTAACACAAAAACAAGTCGAAATAATGACGGAAAATTGCCCAGGTCCAGGTTTCCCACCCTTCTATCGAGGAAAATTACAGGAAAAGTTTGTCCCCCGTGTCGTTAAACTCCCAAACTGATTAGGGAAACATTCCTATAGGGCGGAGTTGGGAAAAACTGGGAGAAAATTCGAACTGTGAGGCAGGAAAACTCGGGAAATACTTCCTTTAACGGCGAAAATCGAATCGAACCTTTTCTAACTATTCTATTGAATTTATTTCGACAGTAAAAAACTTAGAAAGAGGCAAAATAGGTAGTTAAAAATGCTAAAATTTCTTTGACAATTTTGAATTAATACTTCTTCATTAGTTAAATAAAATAACTGGGAAAAATAAGTAACGTATGATCGAAAAAAGTAGCTTCAAAGACGGCTAAAGAATGACAATCGATTATCATTTTTGCGATGTCAATCTACAGGGTGATCCGAACTGTATTCCGGAAACTTCGGCAACAGATTCTGCAGATAAAAATAAGTAAAAAAGTTCGTATAAATGTATGTCCTAAAATGCTTAGTTTCGGAGATACAGGGTGTAGAAGTTTCATTTTTATTTCGACTTTTTTTCAAATAATTTCCGAAGTAATATCAATATTTCGATGAAAATTGGCGTCTGGGAGTTTTTTGACATGAGAAATTTTATTTTGAGGTCAATATGACTGTATTATGATTTCAGTCTGATAACTATTTAGTCAACATGTTTAATTTATGTCAATGAATGACAGGTATTGATAATTTCAGTTCCAAATATCTCGAGAACCATTACTCGTGGCGATTTTTACCAAGAGAGCTTTTTTACGTAAAAAACGTCTCAAATGTCTATTTTTTTACTGAGTAGTTTTATACAGGTATGGACAAAAAATTATTACTGTTCAAAGCTGTTAAAAAATATGTAGGTACCTCAAAATCAAATTTATCATGTCAAAAAACTCCCAGATGCCAATTTTCTTGGAGATATCGACGTTAGTTAAGAAATTATTTGGAAAAAATCGAAATAAAAATGAAATTTCTACACTCTGTATCTCCGAAACCAAGCATTTTAGGATATACATTTATACAACTTTTTTACTTATTTTTATCTGCAGAATATGTTGCCGAAGTTTCCGGAATACTGTTCGGACCACCCTGTATATTATTTGTCTAAGATCAAAAGTTTATCAAAAACCCTCAAGACAAAAATAGTATAATAGAAAATAAATATGTATAGACCCTGTTTTTGTTTCGTCAGGGAAGAAAAATAAAAACAGCACAGAGGGTTCTACTAGGGTGGGAGGGGTTGAAGAAGCTCCATTTGTAAATGCCACATCCGGTGTGGGTTGAAAAATGGGGGTTGGTGTTGAGGAAAAAAAGGGGAGACAGGGGAAATATATATATATATATATATATAAACGACCCTTTTGCCCAAAATGGATCAGACTGTCAAGACCCTAATATTTAAATTTCTTTAGAGTATATTGTACCGTCTATTCAAATATTCATTTTAAGATTTGAACTCATCAACTCAACTCCATTTAACCGATCCTGTATCTCTCACGGTTTCCGAAATCCCAATGACAAGCGTCGAATTCGAGCCACCCTGTACAGTGCTAGTCTATTTTTTGATATTCCATATAAAAAACAACCCGTTGAAAAAGAATCATGTTATATACATATCACTTTGATAGATTATAGTTCCCTTAATAGAGTGTACAAGAAAAATCCATAAAAATCTACATAAAATGCCATTACATGCTAAATTTAATCGCATAATATAAGCTAAAACCTTGTCAACTTTGAGAAGCCTCACTAAAGAAAGCTTTGATTATTGAGATTGTGTAATCCATGTAATCCTGTTACTTTGTATCGAGGTTATAGATAAAGGAATCGTTATTAAAGTATCCTTTGAGGAAAATTTAAAAAACATATCCAGACAGGGTGGATGTTTTAAATATTTTGTTAATAATAATAATAAATAAATAAAGCTTTATTGTACAAAAAGCCAAAATAGCTTCATAGAACACGAAAAAAAGTATCAATAAAAATTTTACAATTTTAAAATTGTAAATGGTTATAATCACTTAATAGTTATTATAAATCACAATTGTTCAAGATTAAACATCAACAAAAAAGTCGTTTACCGCATATAGTGCTCTCTCCAGTAAGTATGATTTCAGAGCTTCGCGAAATGCGGGAAAGAATGAAAGCGACTTGATATTCAAAGGCAGATGATTGTACATTTTTTTGGCATTGTACGGTATTGAGCTTTTAACTATAGTTCTGAGCTCGGGGTTGGCAGATAAAGATCGTGCACCTCATTCCTAAGTTTATAGTTGTGAGGTGGCCTTTCGGGAATAGCAGATATGTGCTTGCGGATTAAGCAAACGGATTCAAAAATGAATAAAGAAGAAAGAGTCAGTATTTTGAAATTTTTAAAGATATTCTGGCAGTGAGTTCTACTGTTCAGTCCCAATAAATATCGAACTGCTCTCTTTCGAAGTTTGAAAATACGATCAAATTTTGTCGAGCAGCAAGTACCCCAGAATGGAAGAGCATAACGAAGATGCGACTCAAAAAGAGCATAATAGACTATTCTAGAGGTTGATAAGTTAAGTTCCTTAGAAACTGATCTTAGCTCAAAACAGGCAGTTTCTTTGATAAAGCTTCGATGTGCAAGTCCCATTTTAACGAGTTGTCTACAACAAGTCCTAAGAATTTTACAGAGTCCGCACGACGTCAATAGTGGTGTTATTAAGGTTGTATAGTACTTTTATATGACAAAACTTTAGTTTTTGATAGGTTCAGGTATAGGAGATTAGAATCGCACCAAGATTTAATGGTGCGTAAGTCACTGGATATAGTATTATATAGTGCCGTAACATCTGGGCCGCTCCAAGTGAAACTAGTGTCGTCCAAAAAAAAAAGTGAAACATTTTTTTTTCATTATAAATATAAAAAAAACGTTTCTTTCAACCCTGTATCGAGGTATAACAAGGAGTAATAATTGTATTACTTTTTTATTTCTCTCTATAAAACGGATAAACAAGAATCAATTTTATTTGAGCACTAAAGTTGATTAAAAGCACTTTTATTTAGTTCTGAAGTTCATTCGGCTCTATATAGAGTCGATGTGATAGATCATGATAAATTCTATTTCTTTTTAGTGTCAGTAAACATTAAACGAAGGAGAAAGATGTATAAAAGAGATAAAAAATGATGTATCTAGTTTGGAAGATGTATTTTGTGACGTGTGTTTGAATTATATGTGATTGAGAGTAAATTATTTCTTTTTTTGAAACAAAATAAAATAAGCTAATAATATAACAACTATAGAACTATATTTTGATACAGGATGTTTCAAAAAACATGTACCATCTCTCATGGGGAGATTCCTCATGCCTTGCCTTGATCCAAGTCTAATAGCAACCTTTAAGAAAACTTAATATGAACAGTGCTTTCCATATAATCAATAAAATAAAAAATATATGAAATAATATACATGTACTGATTTCTTTAAAAAATCGACAACTATGAAACTATGAACCCTTCCTGGACACAAACGGTACATTGTGAGACAGGAAATTGTAGAGAGAAACAAGCCCTATAACATAGGATACAACATTTTAATGAACAGTGCTTTCCATATAATCAATAAAATGAAAAATATACGAAATAATATGCATGTATCAATCTTTCGAAAATCGACAACTATGAAACTATGAACCCTTCCTGGACACAAACAGTATAACAGCAAATTACTAAAAGTACTTGGAAGAAAATTATAATAAATCGAAAGATTATAAAGACTTTAACACCCTGTAGCTACGAAACAAAGCAGAATCGAACCTATTGTTGAGTTTTTAAAACAAGAAAACATCGAATTGTTGAACCATCCTCCATACAGTCCCGACCTAAGTCCTAACGACTTTTTTACTCTTCCAAAAATTAAGAATGAACTGCGTGGTCAAAGTCAAAGGTTCTAGTGTCCAAAAGATGCAGTCCGCGCCTTCAAAACGCAATTTTGAAGGTACTAACGAGCGAGTAGAATAACTGCTTTCAGAAGTGGTTCCAGCGAATGCAAAAATGCATTTCTCTGTGTGAAGGACAATAGTATTTAGAAGTTATCTACTGTTTAATAGTTATCTAAAAATACAACACATTTTGGATGATTATTATAGATTTTTGATATAAACTAAATAAACAAGCAATAAAACTATTATATAACTGTTTTTCTGTCATAAAAATGACCAAAAAACAATAATTAATCATATTCCTGATGCTTACCATATTGTTTACTAATAAAACCAACTATAATAAACCAAAAAAACTAAAAATCTGTCCACTAAAACACACTATAAAGTTTTAAGTCCAATCCGACGCGAGCGAAAGAAAAAATCCGTGAAATTTTCAGTCAAAATTTTCCCGAAACTCACACCGATTTGGTGGAAAACTCCGACGCCAAATATCTGAACAGCAGGATGAACTTTCCGCACAGTCCGCGTGTCGTCGCTCCACGTTACGAACAGGCACAGCGTCGTCGGAAGGAAGTTTTGAGTGTGTTCGGGCCGAAGACGCCGATGTAGCTTTACAGGGGACAGTCAGAAAGTCGATAGAAGTAGTGGTAATATATTTGAAGCGTTAACTGAAGAAATAAGAAAATGTACGTAACCTTATGAGCGATTTCGTGGCAAAAAACCTGTCCGAGATGTAGCTGGCGTTAACGTCAGCCTGTCCGACAATTCCGAGATTTAGTTTAGTTCTGCGCCGCCGAGCGCTAATGTCGTTTACAGCGCAGCGGATAAAGAATACTGTACCGTAGTTCTGCTTTCAATCGAGAGAGTGAGTGGTTGCCGGAGACAATGTTGCCAGAACTACTGATTAATCCGTAGATTTACGGATTTTGGGTACAGTACGTTTCTATCATTAAACAATTTAATAGTAATATTATATGATTAAACAAGAACGGCGTCAGAGTTGGCTTTGAAATGAAGATTGCTGTTATTTCATATATAAAATATTATGGCATGTGTCAATAACCGTCATTTCCAAGCCAACTAAACGACTTTTTCGATCATACAACATATTCCGCACCTATAAAAGAATTTTTATTTTTGTTGCTTATTCTATGTTTAACACGAATAAATTGCAAATACATAAACGCGGATTTTTCATCCAAAGATATTTTCGTCAAACGTATTACAGATATTACACATTTTAATATGGCAACACTGCCATAATAAATCAATAAACCAATAAATCAATAAATCAATAAATCAATAAATCAATAAACCAATAAACCAATAAATCAATAAATCAATAAATCAATAAATCAATAAATCAATAAATCAATAAATCAATAAATCAATAAATCAATAAATCAATAAATCAATAAATCAATAAATCAATAAATCAATAAATCAATAAATCAATAAATCAATAAATCAATAAATCAATAAATCAATAAATCAATAAATCAATAAATCAATAAATCAATAAATCAATAAATCAATAAATCAATAAATCAATAAATCAATAAATCAATAAATCAATAAATCAATAAATCAATAAATCAATAAATCAATAAATCAATAAATCAATAAATCAATAAATCAATAAATCAATAAATCAATAAATCAATAAATCAATAAATCAATAATCAATAAATCAATAAATCAATAAATCAATAAATCAATAAATCAATAAATCAATAAATCAATAAATCAATAAATCAATAAATCAATAAATCAATAAATCAATAAATCAATAAATCAATAAATCAATAAATCAATAAATCAATAAATCAATAAATCAATAAATCAATAAATCAATAAATCTTTAAATCTTTAAATCTTTAAATCGATAAATCGATAAATCTTTAAATCGATAAATCGATAAATCGATAAATCGATAAATCGATAAATCGATAAATCGATAAATCGATAAATCGATAAATCGATAAATCGATAAATCGATAAATCGATAAATCGATAAATCGATAAATCGATAAATCGATAAATCGATAAATCGATAAATCGATAAATCGATAAATCGATAAATCGATAAATCGATAAATCGATAAATCGATAAATCGATAAATCGATAAATCGATAAATCGATAAATCGATAAATCGATAAATCGATAAATCGATAAATCGATAAATCGATAAATCGATAAATCGATAAATCGATAAATCGATAAATCGATAAATCGATAAATCGATAAATCGATAAATCGATAAATCGATAAATCGATAAATCGATAAATCGATAAATCGATAAATCGATAAATCGATAAATCAATAAATCAATAAATCAATAAATCAATAAATCAATAAATCAATAAATCAATAAATCAATAAATCAATAAATCAATAAATCAATAAATCAATAAATCATTAAATCGATAAATCGATAAATCGATAAATCGATAAATCGATAAATCGATAAATCGATAAATCGATAAATCGATAAATCGATAAATCGATAAATCTACAAATAAATGTATTTCGTTCATAGACTTAAATCCATCCGGAAACTGAAGATAACTAAGTTAAATGTTAATGATACGAACAGTTACTTAAAACAAACTATCAGGAGTTACCTTGAAACAGAGAAAAGTCATTGCTTTTTTAAATGAGAAATTCAGCCCGAGCGCTTGAATTAAAATTTGAAAACTGACCTAGGAGACGTTATATGTGTCATCGTCTTCTTGATAAAATTACGACCAAGTTGGACCAAGTTGACTGTTTTGATTAGATATATTTTTCTAGTATGCTTTTTATTTTGTAGCTAAATACAATTTTTTCCTGTTTCTGGTGCAGAATTCCAGTAAGGTTCTTGTAGAAAAGAAGAGATGCAATGAGTATCTTACACACAAGTTATGTTTTGTAACTTTTTATTAACTTTTATAATAAATATTACATTTATAAAAACGTGTTTTATTAGATTTATTAATATTTACTAACGCTTTGTGAATTTACAACACTAGTTATTGTAAATTCACTATAATAAAATGTTTTAATTTGTTGTTACTCTATAGTAATAATACCAGAAGTTGGCAATTTTAAATGATAAATTTACAATGAATAAGTAAATTCGCCATGAAATACATATTTTTAAAATAAATTCACAAAGAATATTGGTGAATATAAAGATATATTACAACATATTTATATACATGCCACAAGTTATACAGCGATTTTACAAACGAGTTGTAAAACTAAAGAACGGATAGTAAATTTACTACAGTAATCTGTGGCAAAAAATTTAACCGTCAATATTATATTAAATTTACAAATTATTTTTTTAGCGCATAGCTTTCAACGATAGAACCTTGATATAACAGTTTTCATTCAAAACTATCCATGTTTAACATTTTCCTGATTATTTTCCGATCATCCCCCGTACTCCTTGAAAATAGGGGTTGTAAAATAAGGGTCGTGCGCTTGCGCCCTGGTTCCCTATCGATTTATTGTCAGCTTGCCGGAAGCCGGAAGGGGGAAAAAGGTGTTTTATGCCCCCGATGCACTAAATGATTCGCCAGCGGGAGACGAGCGTAGAAATTCCTTCTTACGC